GCTTTCATGTGAAAGTAGCAATAAAAGCGCACCATAAACATACCAGACAGCCAAAAACCGTGAAACCACCACAGCTCGTGGGGGAAGAATCTCTTTAAACTGATACCGCCCCGTCCAGGGCCAGCCTCCAACGGGAAGTTACTCCATCTTTTGAAAAGTATGGCCTAGCTCAGGCCCCAGGAGGTGGTTCTCCGCCTAGAACTTGGTTCTGGTTTACTACAGACAGGGCAGGGGAGCCAAGGCCCTGGGAAGACGCTCCAGGGTAGGCCGCGCCGCACCTACTCGGCCTCTGCTCTCGGCCCGCGGGCCAGGGGGGGCTCCCCACCCTGCCCACCTCCAGGCCGCCCTCCTCTCCCCGTAACGCCCCCGGGTGGCCTGCGGGGCAGAGCGGTTCGTGGGCGGCTCAGATGGATCCAGCAGTGCCGTCTGCCCGCCCCTCCCCCGGGGTCATCCACCAGTTCCCGGCGACTACACAGCTCTCTCGACTACACGATTTTCACCGACTTTATTGGCTCCGGACCCCCCTGACATCCAGCACAGTCAAGAGTACTGCGGGACGGCGACGAAGAGAGGCTTGGCGGGGGGAAGCCGGCTCCCTTTTCGGCGGCGCCAGGGTCACTTGCTCTTGGCCTTCTGACTCTCCGTCTTCTTGGGCAGCAGCACGGCCTGGATGTTGGGCAGGACGCCGCCCTGCGCGATGGTCACTTTCCCCAGCAGCTTGTTCAGCTCCTCGTCGTTGCGGATGGCCAGCTGCAGGTGGCGGGGGATGATCCGCGTCTTCTTGTTGTCGCGCGCGGCGTTGCCGGCCAGCTCCAGGATCTCGGCCGTCAGGTACTCCAGGACCGCAGCCAGGTACACGGGCGCCCCCGCGCCGACCCGCTCCGCGTAGTTACCTTTGCGCAGCAGTCTGTGCACTCGGCCCACCGGGAACTGCAGGCCCGCGCGGGAGGAGCGGGACTTGGCCTTGGCCCGCACTTTGCCGCCCTGCTTTCCACGACCGGACATGTTCACCTCTAACCTCAAACGCCAGCCAGGCCGGAAAAAAGCAAAAAGAAAAAAAGCCAAACAACCAACCGAGTCCGGTCCGCGAATGAAGCGAACCCTACCGGAACTGCCTACAAACTCTTTGCGGCCACTAGGTAGCGCCTTCCCATTGGGCGCCGCAACATCCGCGGCTCCAGTGGTCAATGATAGGCAGGCTCCGCTCCCAACCAGCGGGATTGCAGAGGGACGGCCTGCTGCAGCTGTGTCCAATCAAAAGAGCAAACGCCTAGTCCTCATTTACATAGCCGCCCATATGAATACTCAGGGGGGCCGAGTGCTCCGCTTTAGGAAACCAGGTGAATATAGCAGATGTTGATGTTTCTATGTCCGCGCTCGCTCCCAGAGAAATAAACTCCTAAGAAATAAAGAAACGTGGTTGGAAACAGTCCAAGTCTGGAGGGCAGAGCTGCTCTGTGCACAAGTACGAAGCGCTGGAGCCAGAGGTGCCCCCGCTGAGGCACACGTGTGCCAGAGGTTGCTGTGCTTTCGCTGGGAGGCCTTTTTTTTTTTTTTTTTCTGGAGTGCGGCGTCCTAGCCAAGTGGTTGCTGACTCCAGAGCCCGCGGTTCTGAGCAAAGCCGCTCACCAAGCGAAATCCTGCCTTGTGCCTTTATACCAGCTCCGTGCAGTGCTGGGGGTGGGGATGGGGGGCTGGCTCCCACAGAGGCCTCCTCGGTGCTGGGCCATCGGAGCTGTGCTGAGTAGACCAGATGACACTGCTGTGCCCACAAAGTTGCAGCTTTCAGGCTGCGAGTCGTTCAGTTCTAAGGGCTTTGGAACAGGAGTGGCAGACTGGGTGAGAATTCCATCTCCTGAAGGAGAGAACAGGGTCGCTTCGCTGAAACCTGCTCTCTCTTGTCTTCGAGGTTGTGGACCTGGGTTGCTGGGACGGACGGCTTGGCTTTGGCCGGCTCCGTGTAAGTCACAGCACCGCGGGTCACTTCCCCGGGAAGAATCCTTGCAGTTGGCTCCAGAGACTAAAGGAAAAACAGCAGCAGCTTGTTCCTACACACCTGAACTGCAGACCCACAGCCTTTGTTGTTGTGTTTTTTCTAATTCCTTGAGGTAATTTCGGCGTTCTCCACAGGAACGCTGCTACTTGATGCGATGTTAAGGCACATACATACTAACATAAGCATTTATTTGGGGGCTGGCATTGTGGCCCAGCCATTAGGCCGCTGCTGGTGATGGATGCCAGTTTGAATCTCAGCTAGTCCATTTCTGATCCAGCTGCCTGCTAACGGGCCTGGGAAAGCAGCAGATGATGGTCCAAAGGCTTGGGCCCCTGCCTCCCAGGTAGGAGACCAGGATGGAGTTCCAGGCTCCTGGCTTTGATCTGGTCCAGCCCTGGCTCTTGTCATTTGGAAAGCCAACTCACAAACGAAAGATCTCTTTCTGTCTCTTCCTCTCTCTCTGTTGCTCTTTCAAATAAATAAATCTTTTAAAAAAAGTATTTTTGTGTGAATTTTAGTATCCATTTAAGTTAAAAACAAAACCTCTTGCTGCCCTATTAACCATTTGATCTCTCTGAAATAGTTTTCAAGTACTCTTCTCTGTTCTTACATCCTCGCACAATGATTGCCCAATAGTGGTGATTTAATAAATGTCTCTGAGGCTGAGAAGCAGCCTGTTTTGGTTAAGATGGTCATCCTGGCGCCAGACTGCTTCCATCCAAATCCTGGCTTTTGTTAGTAAAATGGTGCCGTCTTATCTGTGGCACCATCTATGCCTGGGACACCCTCCTAGGCTCTGGCTCCCACCTCCATTGCTACAAGCCAGGTGACCAATGGCCCAACCACAGGTGTCAGCTCCACCCCAGCCCTAATGGGATTCACTGCTCCTACTTCCCTGGCCCCTAGAAAAGGTATAACAGGGCCTGCTTCCTGTACACACACTTGTGCTCTCTCTTGATCTCTCTCTCTCCTGATTCCTCTCCCTCTTACTCTCTCCCCCTCTCCCCCAGCCTGTCAGGATTCTCCCACCAGACAATAAAACTTTCCCTTAACTCTGGTGTTTGATGTCTTTTGTGGCGGCCTTACAGCTTTGCTATTTATCAGCTGAATTTGGATAAGTTATTAACTTCCCTACCTATCTCAAAGTGTTGTTTGGAAAATAAAATACATTTGCGAGCATCTAATATCTCTTAAATGTACAGAATAAATGGGCATACAAAACTCTGATGTGGTTTATAACAAGATGTCCCTGGAATGAGTTCTGTAAACTAGCTTAAATTTTTGTCTATATCATGGGAAACTTCTAACAGATTTTTTAAATTACTACTTGGGCCACATTTTTCCTTTTTATTCTTGTAAGCAAAGATTTCTAATTTGAAAAATTCTGATTTGATATTTTAGAAGAGTAAATATAAAAAATCAGTCAATTTGCAATGATAATTCTCATTTCTTCAAGATCTGATAAGCTTTTCCTACTTTGAGTCAAGGATTAAAATTATGTAGTAGTCTCATTATTCAGGATTTTGTCCAGCCATAACAAGCATTCCAAAGGCTCTTTTAATTCATCTTTTTTTAAAAAATTTTTTGACAGGCAGAGTGGACAGTGAGAAAGAGAGAGACAGAGAGAAAGGTCTTCCTTTGCCATTGGTTCACCCTCCAATGGCCACCGCAGCTGGCACGCTGCAGCCTGCGCACCGCACTGATCCGATGGCAGGAGCCAGGTACTTCTCCTGGTCTCCCATGGGATGCAGGGCCCAAGCACTTGGGCCATCCTCCACTGCACTCCCGGGCCACAGCAGAGAGCTGGGCTGGAAGAGGAACAACCAGGACAGAATCCGGTGCCCTGACAGGGACTAGAACCCCGTGTGCCGGCACCGCAGGCAGAGGATTAGCCTAGTGAGCCGTGGCGCCGGCCAGAAATATTACAAATTCTTACCTTTTCTGCAGGAAAGGCTTATCTTCGAGACTAGGAACACTGAATCCAATTTGCTAACTATTCATTCCTCAAGATACTAATTAAGCACCTGAGAAGCAGTTGTGAATCATCTCCTAAATATCCATGCCTTTTAATGGGAGTCAACCTTTGGGGAGAGTACTGTCTCCTTAAGCAAGACAATTAACCGAAACTTTCGTTTGTATTCAGGATTTCTTTTGAGAAAGGATTAGTGGCCTTTTAACTGATACGTGAGGTATAAATCTCTTTCAAAACCACACTTGTGGCATCCACTTATTTTACAACTTTTAATTTTTAAGTGGAAGATGTGAGAGCCTTGGATCTGATTGGCATAAGAAAAAAATGTACAATAAGTCAGCTACATAGCATAGCAACAGCTGTTTGGTTCAAAAGCAAATACAAGAACTGTGGGTGCTTGCAGGGCAGGAGGGAGGCGAGGCAGCAAAACCTGCAAACTGTACACAAATAGCAGAATGGGAAAAGGAGGCGCCGCGTGGGAGCAGGCCTAGGCTATGCAAAGGTTTTTAATTCTCTCTCTGCAGGGTCACAAAAGAGAAAATTAAAAATGTCCATTCTCCCCTCCAAAGGATCCAGAGTTGAAAAGCTGCAATAAGACCTAATCTGTTGTAAGACGTTGCTAGTTCCTGCCGATTTTTACAGTCATTTAGGAATGGTATTAAGTTACCATTCTTAGGGGGAAAAAAACAAGTTTAGCTCTGAAAGAGAGTGGGCAGAGAGGGAGGGAGGGACGTGGGTCCCGGAGGAGCGCGGGCGATCCTAGGTTTTTTTTTTTTTTTTTTTTGAGAAAGTGTAATTCTATTAACTAATACTGTATAAACGGTCGAATATACCAGCTTGAATTGTTTTTTAAATTTATCTCCAAAACATCAAAATTTTTTTCCACTCAAGCAAAAAAAGACACCGGGCCACAGCGTGCGAGCTTTCTCAGCTGCAGCGATTGGGAGGAAAGTCTTGGAGGTGGAGATTAGAGATCCGCCCACCGTCTTCCTGTTTTCAAACAGGTCCGCCGCAAGGGGCTATAAGTCCTGCGCCGGCGGCAGCTGCGGCAGATTCTGGCTTCTGCTGGTGGCTGAGGAGAGCTGAAATACGACCATGTCCGGACGCGGCAAAGGCGGCAAAGGCCTGGGCAAGGGCGGCGCCAAGCGCCACCGCAAGGTGCTGCGCGACAACATCCAGGGCATCACCAAGCCCGCCATCCGCCGCCTGGCCCGGCGCGGCGGCGTCAAGCGCATCTCGGGGCTCATCTACGAGGAGACCCGGGGCGTGCTCAAGGTCTTCCTGGAGAACGTGATCCGCGACGCCGTCACCTACACGGAGCACGCCAAGCGCAAGACGGTCACGGCCATGGACGTGGTCTACGCGCTCAAGCGCCAGGGCCGCACGCTCTACGGCTTCGGCGGCTAGGCCGGCCTCGCAGCTGCCGCGGAGTACCCCCAAAGGCCCTTTTTAGGGCCCCCAGCACGTCAAGAAAAGAGCTGCGAACACGCTGTTAGCGTGCCGTGCGGGCGCCTTTTGGCAGATACGACAGGATGGGGTGGCTACTGCCGCGGGAGGGGCCCGGAGGGTGGACCCAGAGCAGTGGAGCCTCAGGTGGGCGGCAGTGGATGCACGGGCCGTCTTTTGTCTTAGCTGGTAACTAGAACTCCGGGGACCCTGGCTTCATACCGTTCTGATGTTCGAATTTTGGAAGGCCAGGGTTCCCGGCTTTGGCTCAGCCCTGGCTATTTATTGAAGGCATTTGAACTTGGCGGGTGGGGCTCTGCCGACCAAATTAAGTAAATTGGGCTACGGGGCTACGAAGTTGGCCGTACACTGAGGTTTGAGTCTTAAGCGTGGCCATTGGCTTCTGATCGTGCGGCTCAAGATGTCTGCGTGTATGTATATAATGGCTCCTATGCAAATCCAGGCTAGCGGTGTTCCGCCTCCTATTGGAGGAGACTGTACGCGGCGGGACGCAGCGTCCAATGGGAAAGCGCCTCCGCGAGCCGGCGCGATTTGAAGTCGCGGAGCTGCTAGCTCTGGAGCCTGACGGGTCCGAGCGTGTGGGGTCTTCGCTGCCGTTTTGAGTGGCAGGAGGCCAAGCTCAGGAGCTGAAAGCAAGGCGGCAAAGCTCTCGGACTTCGGTTCCCGGTGAGCTAAGCGCATAGTTACCTACGCTGAGCGGCTGGGTGTCCGGCCCTCAAGAGAGGCTGGATCTTCTCGACCCGCAGCTGGCCAAGCTGCCCGCCGTCCAGGCCCGTGCTCAGGGGACGCTCCCTAGTGGCCCTGTCGGCTTCCGAGTGCAGGTCCCGCGGGGCTCCAGGGAGATGAGCGGCAGGCTGGGTACTGATAAGCGAGGTGGAGATGCGGGCCGGAGAGCTGTGAGGCGCGCTGCTTTGGGGGCTGCGGGGTGACCCTCGGCACCCGTGAAACGGGGCCTGCTGAGCGCGCCTTTTGTCGCACGGTGGCGGCTGTGACTTGGGCACTCACCCTTGCGCTGGCCGGCAGGGGCCGCCCGGGAGGCGAGGCCGAAGTCGGTGCTTTGGTCTCGCCCTCCCAGCTCTTGGCCGCCTGACGTCTCAGCACAGGTATGCAACGTGTGGATTTACTTTTTTTTTTTTTTTTTTTTAATTTATTTGAAAGGCAGAGTTATAAAGAGAAATCTTCCATCCACAAGTGGCTGCAAACAGCCAGAAACTCCTTCCAGGTCTTCCACGAGGGTACAGGGACCCAAGCACTAGGCCATCTTCCGCTGCTTTTCCAGGCGCATTAGCAGGGAGCTGGATCGTAAAGGGAAGCAACCGGACTAGAACTGGTGCTCATATGGGATGCCAGGGTCTCAGCAGATGAACCCCTTGCTCCACCAGCCCGAACTGGGTTTAAAATTGAATTCCTATTTTCCATGAACGTTGTGAAGTACCCTGGTTTATGAGGGAATTGGGGAGGGGCTTGGAACCCTAAAATGCATTGTGATCCTTGCAGCCTTCAGGAACCCCCAGCTCTGGCTTTTCTGAACGTGGAGTCTCCGGGCGTCCTGAGGGTGGTGGGCCAGGTGGCACTGGGCAGTGTGCCTGCCCCAGGACTGTAGGGTTGTATATTGGCATATATGTCGGTTTGGAAGACCAGGCTGGTTCTTTGCCATCGCACGTTCTGTAGTCCGGGTTCCCTCAGCCATGGCCTGGCATTGCACCAGTCCCTGTTAGCACATGCAGTATCGAATGCTTCTTTCATTCTTCAAGCTCCACTTTCCTTAATATAAGTGCACATTTTAATTACTTAAAAGAAATAGCTGGGTATACTTAACCACCCTTAGTATTTGAGAGACTGAGTGAATTTGGGAAGATAAATAATTGATTAAATAATTGGTTAGATAATATCTATTTAATGCTTGACTTAACATGAATCAAATTATTGAGGATGAAAGGTTAGGACCCCGGGGAGGATGGAGATATTTATATGACAATCCAAAAATTATCTACTTGTATGTATTTAATTTACCTAGAATTGTTTTGATTTTTTGGTAGTGTCCTCAATTCTTTGTACCTGCCTAATAGAAGTTAATATTCCCTTATAGCATAGGTATATTTTGTTCTTGTTTTATGTCCCCTATGAGCCTAGGAAATCTTTGTTTTTGTGTTTGACTATGATAGCATTTACAAAATGTTTTAAAAGTGTGAAGCCAGAAATAAGAAAGAAGTACAAGTATTTAAAAGAACAAAGCATGGGGCCTGCGCTGTGGCTCACTTGGTTAATCCTCTGCCTGTGGCGCTGACATCCCATATGGGGTGCCGGGTTCTAGTCCCGGTGCTCCTCTTCCAGTCCAGCTCTCTGCTGTGGCCCGGGAAGGCAGTGGAGGATGGCTCAAGTGCTTGGACCCCTGCACCCTCATGGGAGACCAGGAAGAAGCACCTGGCTCCTGGCTTCGGATGGGCGCAACGCCAGCCGTGGCAGCCACTTGGGGAATGAACCAACAGAAGGAAGACCTTTCTGTCTCTCTCTTTCACTGTCTGACTCTGTCAAATAAAAAAAAAATGAAAAAAAAAAGCATATGTATATATAATATATGTGTATATACATACACATTTTCTTTTGGAGTAGTCAGGAATGGCATACTACGTATTATGAATTATGACTCTAACCTAGTCTCTAATAGTGGAAATTGAGAAGTGGTGCTGGGGACACTGGAAAAGACTATATCATGACTCTTAAGGATTTGGAATTCCATCTGAAATAATTTATAATTTTCCTTTTAAAGATTTTATTTATTTATTTGAGAGGTAGAGTTACAGACAGAGAGAGAGAGAGGTCTTCCATCAGCTGGTTCACTCCCCAGATGGCCGCAACGGCTGGAGCTGCGCCGATCTGAACCCAGGAGCCAGGAGCTTCTTCCAGGTCTCCCACACGGGTGCAGGGGCCCAAGCACCTGGGCCATAGCAGAGAACTGGATCGGAAGTAGAGCAGCTGGTCTTGAACCAGCACTCATATGGGATGCCAGCACTTCAGGCGAGGGCATTAACCTGCTGCACCACGGTGCCGGCCCCCCAATCTCTTTCTAAAGACTAACTCACTAAATTAAGGGAGGGTTGCATGGGTCAAGGTGGCCTCATAGGACCTCAGATCACAAGACTCAGAGTTCACTCACCATTACCCTGTATGGATAACATTTTACTGCTAGGCTCTGTCTTGAAATGTTTTATATGCATCCTAGGCCTTGATCAAACAAAATAACAGCCATCTACACAGAGGCCCCAGACAGACTGGAACCCACCCTGCCATCACAGCCCTGCCTGAAGAACAGGCTGGCCATCCTATCACAAACCAACAAAAGGAATGCTACACCACTGTGGACCAACCAGAGACTTAACACACAAGTTGACTGCACACCTCTCGACCCAACTTAAATCTGTAACAGTCCTTAGTCAATGCCTCAGGGAGCTCAGCAGCTACCCAACTCTGTTCTGTGCAAATAAATACCCACTGTCTTCCACCCAGTGTGAGGGACTGACTCTCAGGTGAATGAACCCAGGTTTGGGTCTGTATCAATAGGAATGGTGTGGTCTATCCTCACCTCCATCTTTATAATTATTGACATTTTTGTCAATATCACAAACTACTCAAATTCAAATGAAGTATTTAGAAGCCCGAAATATCTATTTCACCTTGCCTCTTCCTAGCATGATCTAAGCTTCCTTTTTCTAGGTTTCTTTGAATAATTCAGCTGAGATTAAATCTGATTCTCCTACATAATTTAAACACAGATACGTCTGATTGGACTTGTGAACCTATCTACTTCCAGTCTGAGAAGCTGTATTCCCATGAACAAGGAACACAAAATCCATCTGTCAAAGCTGAGATAATATGAAACTCTTAGCCATATTTTTTTAAAGATTTATTTATTTATTTGGAAGGCAGAGCAACAGAGAGAGAGGAAGAGATCTTTTCTCACTCCCCAAATGGTTACAACACCCAGTGTGGACCTGGCCAAAGTCAGTAGCCAGAAACTTCATCTTCCATGTGAATGCTGGGTACTTAGGTAATCTTTTACTGCCCTCCCCCATATATTAGCATGGAGCTGGATCAGAAGCCAAGGAGCAAAGAAGCTGGGACTCAACTGGCACTGTGACATGGGATGCCAGCTTTGCAAGCAGAAGCTTAACCCACTGTGCAACAACATTGGCTCCTAGCTCTATTTTTAAGATCCTCATAATGAAAAATATTGATATATGACAGGAAATGTATAATGCTAGGTCATAACTTGAATTTTCAATATATATAAAAAACATTAGATATATTTCCCTTTTAGAAATCTGCTATGGGGAAAGAGTCTGAGATATAAGTAAATTAATAAAATTTCCACAAAATACATTTTTTTTGCAACAGCAGCATTAAAAAAATTGTTTATGTATTTATTTGAAGGGGAGAGATCAATCAGTTTTCCATCCACTTGTTCACTCTTCAAATGGCCACAATGGCCAGGTCTGGGCCAGGCCGAAGCCAGGAGCCTAGAACTCAATCCAGGTCTCTCATATGGCTAATAGAGGCCCAAATATTTGGACCATCATCCACTGCCTTCCCAGACACATTAGGAGGGAGCTGGATTGGAAGCAGAACAGCCAGGACTCAAACAGGCACACTGATAATGGGATGCTGGCATTGCAGGGGCAGCTTAACTCCCTGTACAACAATCTCCTTATCCTCACCCCATTGCAGCAACATTTAAAAAAGAAAAAGACATGTGGCATAGAAAGCTAAGCCTCTGCCTGCAGTGCCATCATTCCCTGTGGACTCCAGTTTGAGTCCCAGCTGCTCCATTTCCGATCCAGCTTCCTGCTAAATGGGCATGGGAACATAGTGGAGGATGGCCCAAGTACCCACATGGGAGACATGGATGGAGCTCTTGGCTTATGGCTTTGGATTGACCCAGCCCTGGCTGTTGTGGTCATTTGGGGAGTAAACCAGGGGATAGAAGATCTCTGTCTCTCTTTTTCTCTCTGTATCTCTGCCTTTGAAATAAATAAATGAATCTTAGAAACAAAAAGACAATCTGAAGTTCACATTAAGGGAAAGTATTAAGTAAATTATGGTTCATCATAGAATACATCAAGATAAATAACTTATAAAAATTAATAGCCAGATAATTATAATTCTAA